GAACACAAACACATTCAATGAAACAATGAATATTGAATGAAACAATGAACATTGAATGAAACAACCCTCATTCAATGAAACGATACTAATCCAATGAAATGATACTCATCCAATGAAATGACTCTCATCCAATTAAACAATATTCATCCCATTAAACGATACTCATCCAATGGAACAATACACATTGAATAAAACGATACTCATCCAATGGAACAATACACATTGAATGTGAACCTTAAGTGTCTAACAAGAAGGGGGATGATTATGGCTCTGGGCAACTGGAAGCCTGTTAATGTGGAGAAGGTTTTAAGTATCACTGGTCATTACAACAAAGTTGAATCAAGTGGAATTAGTAAATGAAACAGTATTTCTGTTAAACAAGAGAAAGTGGGAGCTGTAGAACGTTCCAGATTTAGTGCTGTTGAAATGTTCATTGTATGCATGTATACTGAATGTATAAAGACATTTATCAAGACAACAGGTAAACATAGAGAATGGGTTTGCGTCAACAGAAAATTATACCAGGAGCAGATCAGAAAAAAGGAGGGTTCCTACTGGCATATGATTTATAAATAAATCTTAAAGATCAGGAATTTACAATATATTTTTATGAAAGCTTTTTTCGAATAAAGGCTCATCGCTCTCTGCAGTTGAAATAAAATGATGATATCCCACTTTAATAGTGGAAAACACATTCAACGCTATGAAAGGTCAATTTTGGCAACTTATAGTTGATAAGAATCCGTTGGAACACTCCTGCCTCTATTATGAATTTCCATGACATTATCAGTCCCTTTATCCTCTTAGCTAACCTGAGGCTGATAACCAATGACGTTGATGCAGCGTGGGTCCACAAAAGTGATGACACCATCCGAGTTGTGACGTGACAGGAACTCTGTGGGCACCGACAGGCCGTTCATATCCATAGAGACTGGAGAGCTGGTCACCTGAGGGATGATACAGACATATTTATTAGAGATGCACCCATTGATCGGCTGCCAAACAAAACCAGATGGCTTTCAGCTGAGCTCACATTTGCGCACATCATGCTGCTCAGAGGATTCACAATGACAGTACAGCTAACGTTAACAGAGGTTGCATTGACTTCAACTATGATGCGTTCAAGTTGTACTCAATAAAATAAAATAAAATGATGTTATCATGATGTGTTCACATGTCTTGTAAAATGTAGTTTTTTGTGAGACACTTGAATAAATCCAGTTGTGTGAAGATGTTTTCATAGCAATATATAATAGATATTAGATTTGAATTATGACCTGTTTAACTTCCTAACACCAGCTCTAAGCAGCTAATCATTTGAATTTCGTGTTTTTATGAAAAGAACCACTATCGATGACAATAACAATTGAAAAAGATAACATTAAGAATTGTTGACAGTTTACACTGACTGAGGGATGGTTAAAAGTATTTTTCAAAGTGGTTCAATTGACTGTGCCTCGACACACACCTGCAGTCTTCCGATGGCCACTAGGCAGTATTTTCCAGTCTGACCGGCCTCCGTGTCTTCTTCTGGTATAGTCATACCTGATGGAAACACAAAGCAAAACAGACATTTCTCGAAAGAGTCGAAGCACTTCATTTTCCATTTGCTACTTGAACTTTGCAGCAGCGAGAGGTAATCTGCCGGCTGACAAAGCCACTGCTCCTCTACAATGATTTATAAGTCATTACCATTAAGCCTCCCAACTGAACGATAGTTTCCACAATACACTGACACATTTCATTAAAACAAATATTCAAACTTGTTCCACTCCGTCTACAAATAATTTAGTAAAAGAGAAGGGCAAGGCAGTCACAGACACAAACAGACATATCAATTCCATTTTGATGGCACATCTACCATAATAACTTTTCTACTGTTTGTTTTGTGTTCAATTAAATATAAAGTCATAGAAGTTTCAGTCCCAGTAGCCGTTTTCACTCCAGCTATCCTGTCACTGACTGACAACGCTCACGTTTTCTGATCAAAAATCACGATCATGTTGCATTTTCTACTCGTGAGGGTGAGTGAGGGCGGCTGCTGGCCTCGCCTTAGGTACACATTAAAGCACATAATCATATGGGAATATGATCGCTATTATTAAGTAAAAACTAGAATTACCGCCCTGTGTTGTTTGCCTCCACTAACCACTCAAGTAACAGTTTACATCCATGTCTGTCCAACACGTCATCACTTTATCATTTTATCCTATTAGACACTTGTTTGAAATTATCATGAATACCATATACTGTACATTCTTGAGTAGTGGCCACAAACATGTTTGGTGAGGTCACAGTGACCTTTGACCTCTGACCACCAAAACCTGGTCATCTGGTCCTCCATCACAGGATTAAATGACTACAGGCCCGTCGACTGACGTCTGTGGTCATGAAATCCTTTGAGAAACTGGTGTTGACCCATCTGAAGGACATCACAGGGCCCCTGCTGGACCCCCTGCAGTTTGCCTACCGTGCAAACAGGTTGGTGGATGATGCAGTCAGTATGGGACTGCACTACATGCTGCAACACCTCGACTCCCCAGGGACATATGCAAGGGTTCTGTTCGTGGACTTCAGCTCAGCATTCAACACCATCATCCCAGCAATACTCCAACCCAAACTCTCCCAGCTCACTGTGCCAGCCTGCAC